AATTTCTCACAGTTTTGGAGGCTGGAACTCCAAGATCAGGGTGCCAGCGTGGACAGGTTCTGGTGAGAGCCCTCTTCTGGGTTGCAGACTGCTGACTTCTTATTGTATCTTCATACAGCAGAAGGGGCAAGGGAGCTCTTTGGGGTTCCTTTTGTAAGGGCACTGATCCCATTCATGAAAGCTCCACCCTCATGACCTAATTATCTCCCAAAGGTCCCACTGGCTAATGTTGTTACTTTAGGAGTTAGAATTTCAACATGAATTTTGGGGGGACACAAACATTCAGTCCATAATAAGCATCAAACCCTCAAAATATTATCTCAAATATTTCATTAAGCTGGGGCTGAGGCACCATAGAGAGATTATATGGATTCAGTAATACATTCCCTTGCTTTAAATGAGTCCATATTTTTATTTGTACCAAAGTTCTTATACACCCAAGCAGAATTATATACCACTTGGTAAGAGTCTGCTTATTAAACTGATGAACAAGGTAATTCTTTGGGCTTAGGCTATTTGAGGAAAATACAACATGAATCTGCACAGAAAATAGCAGTAATCTTCTAAGTACAGACAAGTCAATTGTATTTGTTGTGCGCTAACAGAAAGACTCCTGGGTTTTAGTAGATAGCCCACTATATAATCATCCTGGCTGAATAGGCTCAGATACTTTGTTTTGAAGGGAGTGCAGAAATCCTGCAGGTTTAATTGCCAATAAATCAGCATGACCTCCACTCCCTGGCACTCCTTTTCTACAATGATCTTTTCAACCAGAAAATGAAGAGATGGATTTTACAGTGTGTGTGTGTACTGCCTATGGTAAGATAACAGAATTATACTTGCCATTTTCTCCATTACAGGCTATGCTAGATAATGAAGGACTCTATTAATGACATGTTCTGTTTGCTTTTAGGTTATTTTCATCTTGCATTGTAGTTACTTCTTTTTGTTATTATGGAGAGCTGTCTTTCTTTTTAAAAAAAGAACCTTCTATCATTAATTCAATATTTTACCATCACCAGAGATTTTATTCCCCAGTTAATTCACAAGAATTTGCATTAAAATATTCTGGATCACTCAAAAAGCTATTCACGAACTGATTGAATTGGATGTTACTCTTAGCTGATTTTCAGATTTGGTTTAAATAGCTATTTTAAATTAATATTTCCAATTCATGACTATAACCAATACAGACATTTTAACACTCATCCATACCCAATGTAACATAAACCTGCTGTTTGCACTGTTGAATTGTTTGTATGTTGACGTTTATTTTAGTTTGAATGAATAATATTCTGTGGTAGATATTTATTTAGATTTTTATATGAACACTATAAGAAAACATCAAAATTTAAAACTACTAAATAGTAGGTTCTACTTTGTGCTTAATTTCGGAGTGCTACTGCTACCTATTCTGAAATTTAAGATGATGCTTTTCTTGCCTGACCACAGGGTGTTGGACCAGATGACTCCTTGAAGCTCTGTCTAGCTCTAAGATCTCTGATGCAACCTGCTGGGTCAGGACACCACCTTATTATGGGCTGTGTGCTGGACAATATTGTTGTGCTTTAAATATACATTTAAAAATGTTTTAAGGGGCTTCCCTGGTGGCGCAGTGGTTGAGAGTCCGCCTGCTGATGCAGGGGACACGGGTTCATGCCCCAGTCCGGGAAGATCCCACATGCCGCAGAGCGGCTGGGCCCGTGAGCCATGACCACTGAGCTTGCACGTCTGGAGCCTGTGCTCCGCAATGGGAGAGGCCACAACAGTGAGAGGCCCGCGTACCACAAAAAAAAAAAAATGCTTTAAGAGTGAGAAGATTCTGGGATGATGGCAGCAGTGACATAGTTTTTTAATCTTTCCAAATCCCCATATTACAATACCTAGAGCCACTAGATAGCAAAACTGAAAACATTTGTCATAAAATTAGATGATAAGGTATCCCCAGAAAACCCAAACTACAAGCAAATGAGAACAAGCCACCAAAATCCACGAGACCTTCCATTTGTGTGGGAGAAAGCATAGGAAAGCAATAGGGCCTCTGATGCACCTGAAAACAGAGTAGAAAAAATAGCCAATAGATATTTACTGGAAAGGCAAAAGACCAATTTGTGAATAGCAGTTGAAATTGGGAGGTGTTTCCCCTACTCCAATGGCGGATGAATGTGAGAGGCCTACAGGGAGGATGGAAGGGACTAGAACAGATTGGTCTCAATAAGCTTATGAAATTACCAGCTAGGGCTCCCTTCCAGAATAGAGCCTGACCCAGCCTTCTGAGAGTAGAATCAAAATTAATCAAGATAAAGGCAATAAAGACAAAGGAAAGAGAAGAACCACAGGCAGGAAATCTCAGGAAGCAAGCAGTTAACACTTTTTAGCCCTTCATGGAAACAAAAGAGGGAGCTCTGTGAGGTTAGCAAAGCTACCCTGAACCATGCCTCCTTCTAAAAATTCAGAAATCTCTTTTCACATAAAAATCGACAATAAATTAGTTACTATACCAAAAAAGGGGGAGGGGAAAATAAGGAGCAGAATGACATCACTTCCAACAGTGAAAGGACATCAGAAACATGTGTCCACAGAATACATCGAGACCATAAGCTTTAATTTGACAATAATCTAAAAGGTATTAAGAAAAACAATCTAAATGATATTGACATGAAAAAAACATATCACATTTTATTTTAAACGTAAAATTAAAAATAAAAAATCATTTTAGAAATGAAGTCTTAACTAAAAAGAACACAAGAGAACATATAAATAATATCTTAAGGGAAATAAAAGATGAAAAGAGTAAGAATTTTTCAAATGAAAAAGAAGTTAAAAGATTTGGAAACAATTCAAGAGAAAGTGACAAATTAAAGGCAACAAAGATCCAACATATAGATAAAAGGAAGTCCTCAAAAAAGAGATCAAAGTGAAGGAACAAGTCAAATACTAAAAAACATAATTCAAGAAAACTTTGCTGAAATAATAAAGAAAAAAGAACTTAAATTACATGTTGAAAGAGTACACCATGTATCTGAGAGTATTCACCAGGAAAACCCCAAGACATAATTTAGTAAAATTAATGACTTTAAAGAAAAAAGGAAAAAATCCTTTAGATATATAGGCAAAAGGAACATGGGATTTATATGACAAACACAATGAGATTATCATCAGACTTGTCAACACTTTATGCCAGACCGAAATGGAGTAACATATTTAAGGCACTCAAAGAAAACAAATGAGAATCAAGGATAAACTGCAAAGCTGACCATCAAGTATAAAAAGCACAGACAAGTCTTTATCAACATGCAAGAACTCTGAGAATATCACTCTCATTTTCTCACTGAGGAGTCTATTAGACAACAACCTTTGGACAATCAAACTGACTAAAGAGACATTGCTATTAGGCCTGCTAATGAGCATTAAACAAATAATTACGTGTACGACTAGGATTAAATAAGGATTAAAAGGGATAGTATGGTATGTAAAGGCTCTCTGACAATGTAGATACAGTACAACTACTAAAACTGGGAGGAGAATCGGGAGAGGAATATGGGAAAAATTTTTGTCTGTTCTCAGTAATTGTATTTGTATTTTTCTGAGCCTGTGATGTATATAAAGCAGGGTAATATAAATGGCAGTTATGGAATATTTGAATTCTATTTTACCCTCTGCCCTTGAGTACCAGCATTTTCAGTGTGGAAGACTAAATATAGGAGGGGTTACATAGAAAAACCTACTGTCCTGAATTTGAATTGAAAATATCAATATTAACTTAGAGGTATTTTATGTTTAAAATGTATGTTTTTCTGTAGCTGTGTATTGTTTTATAATAGAAAGGTTTTTCATGTCTCCGTCCACTGAAGAGGCCTAGAAACAGTGACAAATCCTGTAGTCATGAGCATACCTAGCAGCCAGATTGTGATCTTGAAAGTATCATTTCTCCCTAAAAGAAACCTGTGCTTCTCGGGGAAATGGGTGCTTTCAGCTCTTGGGTAGTGTATTAGTTTGCCAGGGCTGCTGTAACAAAATACCACAACTGAGTGACTTAAACAAGAGAAATTTATTGTCTCACAGTTCTGGAGGCTAGAAATCCGAAATCAAGGTATTGGCAGGGTTGGTTCCTTCTGAGGGTCATGAGGGAAGGATCTATTCCAGGCCTCCCCTCTTGGCTTGTGGATGGCCATCTTTTCCCTATGTTTCTTCACATTGTCTTACCTCTACATGTGTCTCTCTGTCCAAATTTCCCCCCTTTTTCATAAGGACACTAGTTAGATTAGATTAAGACCCACTCTAATGACCTCACTTTAGCTTAATCACCTCTGTAAAGACCATATCTCCAAATAAAGTCACATTCTGAGGTACTGGGGTTAGGACTTCAACATAAAAAATGGGGGAGGGGGTGCGGTACAATTCAACCTATAGTAGGCAGTAAATATACAGGATAAACTTCAAGTGCCTTGTTATACTAGATAGTGAGGAAGTTATTAAGATTTACTGGGGTCATAGCCAAAGGCCTAGGAGCCAACCTAAAGAAAAGACAGGACAGTTACAATTTGAAGACAATTACAAATTTACAATAAAATTACAATTTTTAATATCTATTAAAGTAGTCAACCTCCTTAAAGTAGAGGTCAATAGAGAGCTAATTCACTGTCTTGAAAACTGATGGTGCAAAAGAATCAACTATTTATCCTACTTGTCCTGTATGAACAGTGCCATTGTGTCTCTTAATAGTAAATGAGGGGAAGCATCTTTTTATAAAAGCATTCAGGCTAATAATTTTAAAAGAAATAACAGATTTAGAGTATCACCATTTTTCAACCCTCAACAAATTAATGGTATAGTCACTGAGCATCAACAGGCTGCTGACATCACAAAAGGAGAGACAACCAGATGTGTGCCTCCCAGTGAAAGAAAACGTCATCAGCTATTGTCTTAGTCCCCTGGGGCTAATATAACAAAATACCACAGACTGGGTGGCTTATAAACAGCATAAATTTAGTGCTTACAATTCTGGAGGCTGCCAGCATGGTCGGGTGAGAACCCTCTTCTGGGTTGCAGACTTATCATTGTATCCTCACATGGTGGAAGGCCCTAGGGAGCTCTGTGGGATCTCTTTGATAAGAGTTCTAATCCCATTCATGAAGGCTCCTCCCTCACGACCTAATCACCTCCCTAAGGCCCCACCTATTAATACCATCATTTCGGAGGGTTAGGATTTCAACGTATGAATTTAGGGGAGACACAAACATTCAGACCACAGCACCTAGTCTTCCCAGAGGAAGACTTGAATCTAATCATGCCTCTGGACCCAGCAAACAATATAAAGGAAATGAAGACAGAGAAACTTGTTGAACCATGTGTGTACAGTCAGCAGCATTTAGAGTGTAGGAGAGTGTACAGGTTAAGTGATCTGTGTTCTTTAACAGGGTGTAAAGAAAAGGATTGGAGGAGGAGCCTATAGATTAAAAGAGACTTAAAAGAAAACATTGCTTAGCAGATAAGACTAAATAATAGTCCAGGAATGTACACTTGGATGTCTTATTACACTTAGGTGATAATACTGTAAAGAAAGCCATGATTGCTATAATGCTCAGAATGGTGGCTACTTTTGTGGAGAGAGGAGGTTATCATTGGAATGAGTATATGGAGGGGCTTTTGGGTGGGGGTGAGGGTTGGCAGAGCTCTATTTCTTGGCTTGGTTGGTGATTACAAAAGTGTTTGCTTTGTAATAACTCATTAAGCTATCTATTTGTTTTGTGTGTTTTTCTGTACCTGTTTTGTTTTTTCAGTAAAAAGTTTGTCTTCTTTTTGTTTTTGTTTTGTTTTGTTTTAAGAGCAGTGCAAAACATAAAGAGCTTTAGTAGAGACTTGTGCTGTATGCTGATTTCATTTCAGGACACTTCTCAGTGTCTTCCAAAAAACCTAGTGTGACCACATTTTCCCATTAAATTTAGCAAAACCTGTTCTTGGCTTAATAGACAAACATACATTTCCATCTACAACCTGATTTAAGAAAAGCATAGAAAGAAAGCAGTGAGAGGCCAGCAAAGTAAAAAAACAAAAAACAAAAAACATGTTTTACCATCCAACCATATTTCTGCAATAAGTAATATTAAGCAAAATTGGGAAAGCATAGGTAGGTATAAGTATGGCAGCATTAGTAGGGTGGTATCATAAAATGTCCCCGAGAAGCTGTAGAATCCCATATTGTTCAAGTTTACAGCTTCACTCCATTCGATTAGACAAACAAAATGGCTTTTATCCATTTGATCCATTGATGTTTTGACTTTAAGCTACAAAGGAGACAAGTTTACAGGCTTTAAAGACAAATCAGTCTTTAAGTTGTCAGCAAAGATCTCTGAAAGCTAACTTTCCTGAAGTACTAATTAAAGCAAAGAACGAGAGTCCACTGTGTAACCAATAACACATTCCCTGTGACGAGTGAGAAGAGGGCCATGATATCCATATCAGACAGTGTGCAAGTATGTATTGAGCACAGGTTTTTCTATGGAGTCTCAGTTTCACATACAGGGTTGGAGCTCCAAATATATGGTCACCATACTTATTTTACAAAATCGTCCTTTGTCTTCTTTCCTCTAATCTTAATGAAAGCAGGGCTGTACTTGCAAGTAGGCCTGACAGATGAATTTAACACATTCTTACAAATTTAAGTTATTTTAACCAGCCCAAGGGAGTTCCCTGGCGGTCCAGTGGTTAAGACTCCATGCTTCCACTGCAGGGGGCATGGGTTCGATCCCTGGTTGGAGAACTAGGATCCCACAAGCTGCGCAGTGTGGCAAATAAATAAATGAATGAATGAATGAATAAATAAACGAACCAGCCCAAGAGGTTCTAAGGATGTGCCTCAAAACCCCCCAAGATGCCAATGGAGTTGGCGGGGGAGGTTAGTAAGCAGGCAGTTATTTAAATCCTATCAATTATTTGAGGCCCAGCTCAGCATCATCTCTCTGTTTTCCAAGCCATTTAAGAGCATTATAGACTGAACCACTCATAACCTAACTTTGAAGATTATTTTGTCAAAACAATAGTGGTTTTATTGCTACTATCGCGTATTGTCCTCCAACTACTTTATGATTGTTAATTTTGTGTCCCTATCTGGTTACAAGGCTTCCTAAAGGTAGCAATTATGTCTTATAATTTCCTGTATTCTCCACTGCATATAGAAAACACTCAATACTCATTGATCTCATTCACTAAGCCTTTAATTCATCCATTTATTCAATTAACAATATTTTTTGAGGGCCAACTATGTGCTGTCCTTTCTGCCAGGTTTATAGCTATGAGCAAGTTTGTGCTCTTATGAAACTTCCATTTTAATAGTTGGCATAAGGAAAACCCGAGGTACTTTTTTCCCTCCCAGACTTTGGACTCTAAAATGACTAACTTTCCAGCAGTAGCAGGGGCTAAACTGCCATTTGTCTAAAAAGAATTCCCAGCCCATTCTGCTGCTTAGTGGTAGGCAAACTAAAAGAAAGGAAAAAACAAAGCAGGTTCAGCATGTGTGAGTTCCTTCTGAATGCTCTCCCCTTCACTGAGGTGCATTCTTCAAAAGCCAAGTAGAACCTTTCAAAATCCTGGGTTGGGAGGGGTTTCACATAGTTTCTCTTTGACTCCTGTACTTTTCCCCATTACTTTCCCTCAGATATACACTATTTTATATATTTATGTACATATGTAGGCATATACACATGTGTGCATGTGTATGTATGTACACGTGTGTGTATGTGCATAATAAGGTTTGTCTCTCGTCCCCCCTTCTCTAGAGATGCTTTTAATTTTAAAGTAGTAATCACCCTAGTGCCCTTTGCCCTCTAGAGTGATTTCTCAAAGGCAGGGCAGTGCCAAAGCTGTAAACCTTTTCCTTCCCTTTGTGGTTCTCTTTTTGATGTTGGAGCTTTCTCACCACCTGCTCTTTTTGTCTAAGCAATTCCCAGGCTTCTATAATTCTGGAAATTTGGCTACTACTTAACCATCGTTATTTATTTCATCAATAGTGTTAAAGTGGCAAATTTTATAGTACTGTGACAACAGTAACATTGATTCTCAAAGAAGGTGTTTTCCTGGCTTTATTTGTTTTGATAAAATAATCTTGGACTGAAAAGAGAACTAAATACATTTGCCTCAGGCCAAATGTCCAAGCTTTATAATGCATAAAGCATAAAAATGATAAAACTCTGCCCTTAAAAAATAATTATAGAGCAAATTGGTGCCATGCTGCAGATAGTGGTAAAAATTAATTAATTGATAGATAGATACATAGATACAAGTACTTTCTGAAGGAGGGAAAAAGTGAAAAAGTCAGTGTCTAATTTCAATAAATATAACATCACCCCTGTATCCCAGTGCTGCTACCAGACCAACATACAGTAAGCACAATAATACTTGTTGAATGAGTGAATTCAGTTCACTTCTTTTATCTACCACTCTCAGATTCCTAATACTTAAAGAGTGGATTATCTATGAGGATAAGGAAACCTATTATGAATATAAATAATAATAGGATTATAACAAATCCTGTGTCCTTTTAAACCAGTATCTCTATGGTCAAAACTTAGTGCTGTAAGCCAGGGCTCATGTAAATAATTGTTTACCCACTCTTTGTACATCATTTGAGTAATCCAATTACAGACAGATGGGAAGATAAAAGTCTCCAAAAAAGGAACCAGGGGTATTTTTCTTGTGAAAATGCACAGACATTCTAAATACTTCCAAGGTTGTCAGATGTCTTACTGTTCCGAGGTGGGGCTAAGTGTCTTTGAAGAAATATGAATTAATGGGTTTTCATGTGGGGTGATTGTTTTTATTTGTCCAAGTAGAAAGGGCACGTGGGAAGCAGATGGTTGTCATTGGCACAGAATGGCTCTAGATGACTGTACTGTTCCCAGGTTGAGCTATGAGGAAGCTCAGACCAATTTGGCTGTGGACAGACAATCAACGAAACTTGTGGGTAACTGTGGAGAGTCTTTCCTACATGTACTCTGACCTGAACTTTATGCTGCCAGTATCTCTGTGTAGAGAGATTTGTTTACCTCTCAAGAGACTTTTGAAATGATTCAAAGTCCTGAAGGACTAAAGGATTCTAGTTAAATAAGTACAGTTTATGTCCCTTTTTCATACCAGAAGTGACAGAAAAGATATCAAAATTCTTTAGGTTTCCTCTTTATTTGTACAAATGGAATGACAGTAATACAGTGACCCTGTAGAGCCTTAGGCTGAGTGAAGCAGTTTGTCTTATCAAAGCAGTTTCTCTAACAGTAGGTCACGGGGAGCAGGGGAGTGTATTTCTACCCCTGAAAGATATAGCTTACAATCCTCGAAGTAAGTATAGGACAATTAATTCTATGTTAATATGTTGTTACTGACCTATGAACTCAAGCTATAATTTTCTCATATAACATATTTGAAACAGCCAGCTTGCCTATTTCCATAACCCACAAAGCTAAAATATTCTTTCTAATTTGTCTAACAAGTGAGTGGAGCTCAACGTTTGGGGACAAGAATTTGCAGCCTGGTGAGCTGCATAATGCACACTGACGACTGAAATATCAGGCAAATCAGTGAAAAACTCTGTAAACCAAAAGTGTTTAACTTGAGAAATAAATCTGTGTGTATACTAAATAATACGTTTCTCTATATTTACCCCGACTTGTTGAGCTATGTTTAGTCATATTCATTCATTTATTTAACAAATATTTATCAAGCTCCTTCTATGTGCTGAGGTCTGATGTCGGCACTAGGAACATCATAGTAATTGAAACAGATAAAAACCGTGAAGCTTATACTCTAGGGTGTTTCAGGATAATGATTCAGCGTATGAGCCACATTTACAGAATTAGTTCCAAGATTGTTCCAACTGACCCGTTTTCTTTTAGTCTGTCTCTGACCACTCTTGGCTCTCAATTGTTCTTCAGTTTCTTTTCTGCCTAATCACTTTAGTTTGGCACATTGATTGACAAACTTCCACTTTGTCCTTCATATTCTTCGCTTTGTTCTTAGTCTTTCAAAAACTGTCTTTCCC